TATGTATGTATGTATGTATGTATGTATGTATGTATGTATGTATGTATGTATGTATGTATGTATGTATGTATGTATGTATGTATGTATGTATGTATGTATGACTTAGATTACACTGTGGGCTGCGAGAGCCGGGGGCCGAAGCCGAAACACAGCGCAAGGGTCGGGAGCACACAGCACAAGTCGGTTAGTCTTGTGTGCTCCCGACCCCGACTCAGACTGCCAACACTCTACGCAGCCACTCCGCAGCCCCCCCATCCGGGGGTGGCGCTGCATTGAATACACCACGAAGGGCTCTCAGGTCCCGCTAGAGCGAGTCCACAAGTCTCAGCTAGGGCAAAGTCAAAGGCTCTCTGAAACAACCCCCCAAAACACCACCAACGGAAACGGGATTCGAAGGGAAAACAAACAAACAAACAAAAGTTCGGTTAGGGCAGTCCCGGCAGGGGAGGGCTCCTGATATACCTAACAGGCCAACAAAAAACCTCCAAGAGAGAAAGGCTAAGAGACCACAAGACGTCTTGCAATCACCTTAAAACAACTGACCTCCACCACCTGTCCCTTCCTGGGCTGGTCCAGGGGAGAAGTAGCCTTATAAAGAAAAGGGATCCCGCACAAGCCCGATCACCACTGCAGGGGCCCGGGATAGTCCGGCGAAACGACCAAAGCGTTAGCGTTGCCACGACACACAGCTCCTAGACCCTCCAGAAAACCGCAGGGGGAGGATTGTAGCCCGCGCGGCGCCTCCCCCTTACCGCCACTAACCTGAACGGTTGGTCCTCCAGAAACCTATTCACCCTGTCTCGTACTGCACCGCTCTCACCTTCGTCCCTCACCAAGCAACCCAGTCCCACAGAGAAGACGTGTCTAGATAGAATGGCCCTCCTCGGGCCACACCTCCCCCTCATCCGAGCCCCGCTACCACCACCAGACCTCAACCTCCCAAACACCAGAAAACCTACGTCCTTTTGGCGCTCTCACCGTGTATGTATGTATGTATGTATGTATGTATGTATGTATGTTGTAATATATGTATGTATGTATGTATGTATGTATGTATGTATGTATGTATGTATGTATGTATGTATGTATGTATGTATGTATGTATGTATGTATGTATGTATGTATGTATGTATGTATGTATGTATGTATGTTGTAATATATGTATGTACGCGTGTATATGTGTATGTGTGCGT